CCAATCAATTCTTCAAAATAAAACCATCTCCAACTCTAATCTCTACTGAATAAAGGGACATTCCAACAGATTTATCCAGGTTTTACTTTACCTAATCATGGATAATTCAAGAGAAAATTTATCTATACACACACCAGGCTTTATACATTTTGCCAATGTATTAATTGGGAAAAATGGTATCAATTACATAAAACATACTTGCAAATGTCCAGGGTATTCAGACATGACTCAGTTAATAAAGGATGATTTGAAGTTACTTGGTGAAGGCAGTAAATCTGTGCATAAAAAGTGATTAGAAAGACGTCACTCAACCAATTTTCAATTTTTTTTTGCTTTTTACGCAGCAAACGACGCAGAGAGGATAACATCTCCAAATCTGTCAACACCAAAACACCCCAAGGCAAGTCCAGGTCAACCGACTCTGACAGGAAGAGGAAAAGGTGATTAAATCTTGATTAAATCAAGAGAAACACTTTGTGTTTCTCTTGCATTTTTATTCAGAACCTTGTGCAATTTCCAATAAATGTCCAGTGCAAAGCTAGATCTAAAACATGTGGATAAGAAGACAGTGAGATCCTGTTTGTCATATCTGTTGAAAGAAGGCTGACGCATAAAATCTGCATGTCTGCAAAATCTGTTATTTTGCAGATTTTTTTACTTTTTTTTTGGAGGAAGAAAGAGTCTTGATGAGATTTCTTCAGTTTACTCGCATCTCAGTGTTGTTGTCCTAGAAAGACTTACAGTTAGACCTGATGGAGCGCTTTACTCTGATGACAGCACAGCGTCGAAGTCACTTCTGAGAAGCCTCCCTTTGTTGTGTGATATGTCAGCGGTGTTCCAGTAAGAGCAACGTGAACGCGCAGTCGTTTCTGATCAGGTCTCACTCTCCTGTTGTGGTTTTCCTGGACAGTTTGGGGTGCATTTGCTGCACATGACGAGACATTTCCTGTCCGGCGGGGGGCAGCCTGCCTTTACTCCCCTCTGAGACAGGAACAACCACGACGAGGAGAACGTTTAGAGGAGGAACTTTATCCACAGCTTGCGAAAACGATCAGCCACTTTGGTACCTGGAGGTGTGTGTGTGTTGTGTGTGTGGTGTGTGTGTGTGCGTGCGTGTGTGTGTGGCTGTGTGGTTTGGAGTTGTGGCTGCTCTTCAGCATGGTGTGTGTATATTTGTGTTCACTTGTGGTTAATGCTTCGTGAAACTGAAATGTCAGGCTGAACTAAACCAAAGCGAGATGCAGATGTGTGTTGAACAGAGGAATATTTGAATTGTGCCATAGCTCTTTGCTTTCTTTTTTTTTTTTTTTTTTTTTTTTGTAAGCAGAATTAATTTATGGTGGTTCATGTGAAAGTATAAATTTGGTGACAGTATCCACAATGTAGTTCTGTAAAAACTACATAAAAAGAAAGAGGATTTTTGGAAGAAATCATCTGTTTTTTTTTTGTTCTTTTTTTGCTGCTGCTTCTAACATTCAGTTATAGTTTCTTGAGTCTCAGCATGTTTCGCTTAAACTGTCAGATGCTTTTCTGAATGTATGATTTTTATTTTTTTTTTTGTGGTTATTTTTAGATTAGTAGAAGTAGTTTGTACACTTTGTTCTCAGTCACAACAAAGTGCCTGTTCATACAGTAGCTTCTTACGTTTGCACTGACACATCACTTCCCATTTCCTTTTTGTATTCATGTCATTAAACAATATCATAGGAGTTTAGTTGTTGATGTACTTAAATACTTTGATAATTTATATAAAAGGCATTGATGTATATTTTACTACTTTGATTCTCGTTATGAGTTCCTTTCCAAGGACTAGTTGACGTCTACAAAATAACTCATACATGACCTCCTACTAGTAAATATTCTTTATTTGAGTCATAGTCATATTTTCTGTACAGTTGACTCTGAGCAGGTTGTAGAAAGTATGAGACGACTCATTTTTCAGTTGGGTACAATTTGACTAAAACTGGAAAGGTTCAGAGAGGAAAAAATGATTAGCATTTGTTGCTGGACAAAACCCTCTGGTTTTCTTCCCATGGCTTCGAATGGCGACCATGGGAATCTTTTGTTTTTGTCTTCTGCTTATCCGTGATCAGTTCAGAGGCACAACAAGCCCAGGACCATCCAAGACTCCAAATAATTCAGATTAGAATAGAGTAGAAATGAACTTTATTTCCCCTCAACTGGGAAATCCAGATTTCCCAGCAATGAAGTGACGGGCAACTCAAGACATGCGGGTTCACACAAATGTAGAAGTATGCAAACAGAAAGTAAGAATATGAGATTACAGCATCAGAAAAAATGCAATTATTAGAAATACTATGATTCAAATAAATGTGAAACTGAATAGGACAACTGATGGGGAAAAAAGTAGAATATGTACCTTTATGTAAGAAATACATTGGCACATTATTACGCTATTCTCTACAGCGCATAGTTTGGATAAAGATAAAGGTTTTTGCACAAAATGTTCACTGTTTCCAAAGAAATTCAACAAAACCTGTTAAGATAAAACTATTAAAAAGATTCCAAGCTTGTTATTGGTTTGTTTTTCACAAGCAGAAATCTAATGATTATCTGTTATTAGCGATAACATTTCCTGATTTTCTTGGTCCTCTGCTGCCCTGCAAGATTTCGCTCCACATGCACAAGCTGACTGAGCCTGAACAGAGGAGAATCAGTTTTTCTCAGGAAAATGTCGCCCATCTGTCTCTGAATATATGCATAACAACCTGAAAGGTGATCACTGTTTAAGTTGTCATCACCTTTTTTGTTTTCAAGCTCTTTGGGGGCCTTGGAAAGTCGACACCATTGCCGCCTTATAAGCAAAGGCAGCAATGGTGTCACTAGGGATGAGGATCAGGTCATTATTTAGAATTTGTAATTATTCACAAGGTTCATTTCATAACTGAAAAGTCAGATTTTTGTTTACAGCTAAATACTCTTAATATTTACAGCACATAATTCAAACCTTAGCTCTGGTCAGTGAACGCACCATATCTCAATCTCGTTTAATTTCTTGTCTGTATGGACATAAAGTCCACACAGTTGCCGGCAAATTAAATGATGAATATATGATGGCACAGTAAAAAGCTTATTGCATCTTATTTACTATTTTGTAATGTGGAATAAAACAATATTTCCAGATGTAGAAATGCACATCGAAGTGTAACATGCATTTGTATTTAGCCTCCATCACTAAATGTTGGCATTTATCATTTATTTTGATCCATTTCTTAGGACTATTCACTTATCATTTTCACAAAAAAAAATTACAATTAATTTTTATTAATTCTCCTCTGTTTGGTTAATGAGTGCAACAATAAATTTGAAAATATAAAATGCAATTTTTTGCTGCTTAGTGACACAAATCACTTTCATTGGTGTCCTTAAGAATATCACACATGGGTATGTTTGGGTTTATTATTGCTTTGCTTTTAAAAATATATATTTTTACATTGATAAAACTTTAAGTCCATACTTTGGTGCCTCTAAATAAAATGCAGTGCAATCGGTTTTCCTTAGAGAAGTAAATCATCCAGTAATTTTGTGTATACTTTCCTGTGAAGAAGAACCACTAGCAGGAAAACAGCAGAAGTTAAAAGCAGGTCACCAACAACCCATGAATGTCTCGCACTTCACTGAAAATACTAAACCAGGTGTCCATTTTCTCCAGTTTTGCGTTTGTCAGACCATCAAGATGGAAATGCTCAGATAACCTGCAGTGCTGAGTGGGATGCTTCTGTTTAAAGTGTGAAGTTCTGCTTTCAATTCATCTAATACGACTTTCTGCACGTCTCGCACGATTGAAGTGATTCAAGGCAAGCATGCGAAACGTCACAGCGGCCTGAGTTTCTTTTCCGCTTTGTGTCTCTTGTGTGACAGGGTGAAAACCAGCGACTGCTAACCAGCTCCACCTGAGTTCGGCTCCGGCGGGGAAGCCAGCCTCGGCAGGGAACTCCAGCTCTCCACGCCTCTCTCCAAACCTCTGTGCTCTTCCTCCTCTCCTTTTGCTTTTTTTTTCTGTTTTACGTTCGTCATAGTTTTAATCCGGCTAAGTCCCGTGTTTTCAGCGACACTCGCCTCATAACTCTTCGTGTCTTAAGCTTCAGCGTTTCCCCCCCCCCAAATCCTCCCTGAACCGTTTACAGCAGACACTTTGACATTCACACAGGAGCTTTAAACCCCCTCCTCAGACCTCACCTCCACCTCAGTGTTTCGCTTTTGTTGTTTCCCTCGCATTCTGACCTCTCTTGTAAGACTGAACGTAGGGGGTACGCATTGCCAATTTGTAATGCTGTTCATATGTGTATTTTTCGAGAAAAGAAAAACTGAACATTTTTTTCAGAGGCGAAAACAAGAGGTTCTATTTTTTATAAAAAATCTACTTGAAGTTTTTAAAGGTGACGTGGGGTTTGGTATAAGACAAGTACTGCCTCCACCCCCAAGTAATAGTGGCATGATATTTCAATGATGTACATAGTACTCTGTTTTTTTTAAAAGATGTGTATTAAAGATATTTTTGCTTGTAAAGAGAAAAATGAAGAGCTTATGTTACAGATCTTAATGCTGCAGAAAACTCATGACCTGTTCTCCTTTTGAAATTAAGTTGTCTTAAGTTTATTTAGAGTGTAAGCTCAAAATAAAACTGGTATTTTGTTTACCTACACATCTGCATTTCTCGTTTTTATTTTAAAGCAATACCGCCCCCTCCCCCCCCCCAAAAAAAAACTGTTTTCCCTTTTTAAAACATTCCTTTCCCATAACCAGGACCGCTCACACAACGTCCAATACAATGATGCAAACAGACGGACACAAACCGCCGGCCTGGCAGCCGGCCCGGCCGTTGAATAAGAGTTGTTCTGTTACGACAGCGGATCAAATTACTTGGGAGGTTGGACTGCCAGGAACACACGACGGCACCGAGCCAAGCACTTTCAGTTAGCGGGGTGGGTTTAAAGGGAGTGACATCAGGTCGCTATCACTTTAAATAAACACGCAGGTATCCGATAAGACTTTATTGGAAAACAGTGGAAGGGATGCAGGAGCGCGCGAGTTGAAAACGCATGGAGATGATGGCTCAGGGAATATCAAGATTTAAGCTCGTTTTTGCAACTAAAACATCATCAATTAGAAAAGTGCAGGGGGGATGCCGCTCCCAAACAGCAAACTCCAGGAAGTTGGAATCTTCCACTTGCTGTTCGGTTCTTCGCTCTGGAAGAAAAAAAATCAAATAAATATTTAACTTTTGTTTCTGGTTTGATGCCTGCAGACGTAGAAGGAAGTCTAGTTTCAGGCTGACCTGGCCGTCCAGCAGGTGGAGCCAGTCGTTGAGGTGGTTGACGAGGGTGAATGCGTCAGGAATGTTGTCGCCTTCCGAGCAGAAGAGCAGCAGCACCGCCAGCGGGAGATCCTCGGCACAGCTGAACACATCCACAGCGCCAACGCGTCATTTTGACACCAATGCAGACATTAACGTGTGAAAGGACTGCCAAGGTTTTTTCATTTAATGAAATGAGAGGCAGCAGTGCCTTGCTAAAGTTTTTTGTTTTTTTTTTTTTTACATTTTGTCATTTTTTATATTTTAATGTGGACCAAAAGAAAGCAGTGCATGAATTTAAAATAGGAAAAAAATCTGATAAGTGTGGCATGCATTTCTCCTGCTCCCTTTTTGAGTGATCCCCACCAAATAAAGTCAACTTCAGTTATAGTTTTAAGCTCAGATTCTAAATTGGATTCAGGACTACACTTTGACTAGGCCATTCTGAACAATGGGTATTCTTCGTTCTAAACCACTCTTGCTCTGGCAGGGTTTCATTTAGCATTGCCTTGTATTGAACTTCATCGGGCTCTTAGCCCTGACAGGTTTTGCTGTTTCTGCCACCAGCATGATGCTGCCACCACCATATTTAACAACAAGGATGATGTCTATCAAGGTGAAGTGCAGTGTAGAGTTTTTTTTTCTTGATGTGTAGATCAATAAGATTGATTTCGAGCACTTTCTTCCACATGCATGATTAATGAGGTTTCTCAATAGTTGTGCTGTACCAGAAGTATTTCCAGATCAGTGCGACATTAGCTTGGAATACTGCTTGTTACAGAGAGGTGGAGGAAAAGGAGCTCGTCTGTTTGTATTCTTCCTGCTGGTCTTGTGGTTGTAACAAGAAAGAGTGTGAAAATGTTTACATCTCTCTGTACCTGTCTGTGTAAAGGCCTTTGGTAATGCCGCCTCCCGGGATGCAGAGTCTCGGCTCTGCGTCCGCGTCTACTCCAGGAAACGCCGGGATCCGCTCCATCTCCCTCCAGCCCAGCTCCTTCAGAGCGTCCGCGCTCGCAGCCAGCAGGGACGGCGTCATCAGGTACCTCAAAGAAGTGCTTTTCATCGAGACATGGGCATTCATAACCCAAGCAAAAAGAATAACAACAAAAAACAAAAAAAAAACAATTGATTTTGGGGAGCACATTTGTACCCCTGTAGCTGCTGGTCGTCCCTCTGGTAGGCGTGGCTGCTGGACAGAACCACCGTCCTGGAGAAACCACTGGCTTTGATCCAGGTCTTGAGCTGCTGCCGAAACTTCTTAGACCTCGTCTGCAGTTGAAGCAAGGTTTGGAGCCGTGAACATGATGGTGTTTACAGAGACGACACACAAACATGGTCAGAAGTTCAGCTGCACATATCATAGGAATCCAAGGCAAATAAATGCAGAGCTTTTGGCAAGTTAGATGTTACAATTATCTGAACTTAGTGGACATAACATAGAATATGTACTTAAAAACCCATTAATATTATTGTAAAAGCCTCACAAAATAGGTCTTTCTTTTCACCATCAAAAGGATTTTGGCAGAAATACTTGAGCTCGTTAGAATAGTGAATTACCGTAATTCCCGGACTATAAGCCCCTACTTTTTTTTATTTTTTACATATTTTGAACACTGGACTCCTGATAATACACGGCTTCTTACCAAAGGGATTCTAAAGGCTCGACTGATACGTGATGAAGAAAACAGCTCAAATATAACTATGTATTTATTTAAATGAATGATTGGAAATGATTACAATGTTCATTTTTCTATAATTCTTAGGGAAGAAAATAAATGATAAAACAGTGTTTACCTGGATAATTGGTGCTCTGATCTGAAGAACTGCCAGTTTCAGCTCTGCTGCTGTGTAAACTGGATACAAAGCCAGTGGACAGATGAGTACCATGCAGAAAACTACTTACGCTGCAGACAAACTCATCTCTACTCATCTCCAGAGTGAGATTAAGATTAAAAGTAACACTTTTTGACACGCTCTTAAGACAAACAAACATAACATTTTGAGACAATGGCAGTAAAGAACTCTATTTATCCAACAAGTGACCTCTGAACTTGCACTCACGGATGGAAAATGAGCTGCAACTGAGATGGGGTGCTACCTTCTGCGGGAGTGTGCAGCTCCTCGGCGTCCGCTTTGCTGCTGGCGTACGGGTTGTTCCCGGCCATCGGGATCAGGCAGTCTGTGTGGAAGTAGCCCACTCTGCTCATGTTGAGGGTGGACACAATGAGGTCAACGGCCAGCTGACCCACGTTACCCACGGCGACTGCAGGCTGTCAAGGCAATGAAGAAATATTTCCCATCGTGGAAAAATGAGTGCTATCTGTAATACGTTATCACTATGAATTAACACACTTGATTCTGACGTCAGAAAAAAAATAAGTTTGTAGTTCAAGACTAGACTAACAATTATTTTATTTATCGATTAATCGGTCGATTATTTTGACGATTAATCAGTTTTAAAATAATTTGGCACATTCTAAATGTTTTTCATTTAAACATTTAACATTTTTATACAACATTAGAAATAAATAAAAAGATAGAGATAAACAACGCATTACATTTATTAAAAACAAACAAAAAACAGCAAGGTACCCAAATACTCCTGGCTATTCTACATTAAAAGCAGCTAATCAGTGTTTTTACTCTAAATGAAGTTATTTTATACGCTATAACACGAGAGAAAGCTCTTCTTTTGCTGGATTTCACCGCTTAAACACAAACGTTGCGGCTATAAGAGGCGGATGCAGAAGATTAGCTCCGTGAACTCACCATGACCAGGGTAAAACCTTTGAAGGCAGCCGGGGAGTCTTGCGAAGAAATAAACATGGTGTTCTTTGGTCGGAAAACACACAAGACCGGGCGGGTAAGCAGAAAAATGGTTTAAATGAAGCTGGACGAGACCGAACTATAATTTGTCAGCAGGTTTCACTTCAAGTTTCATGCCTGCTGGTGTTATGGACCTTTTGGACGCCTGTCTGTCGAAGACTAATGACAGAAACGGTAGTAGGGAGGCCTGTGACTGCCTGAAGGAAATGCAAAAATAAAATATAATTCCCTCAACACAAAAAAAAAAAACGTGGTAACGGTTTTTTTTGTACATTTGTTTTAACTGATTTTATTTTCACTCACATTATTTCAACCAATTCTGTGAGTAAGATAATACCAACGCGTACCTTTTTTACATTGGAGTTTGTATTATGCTCAGGCAAATTAATAGGCAACAAAAAAACCGGTGGCTCTGCACGATTTTTCTGCCGGCGAGGTAAGCGCCGCATCCTTGGGGAAAGCGGAGATTATGCGCTGATTAAACCCGGATAGACAGGAAGCTCCTGCTGTCTCTCCGGGATCTAGATACTATTTAGATCCAAAAGTGTCACAATCCAATTGAAAAAATAACTTATTCAATATGTAGTGCTTTGAATGACATTGCTATAAATCACGAGATTTATTGACAAGATAAGTAAATAAATAAATAAGAAATTAATTACATTTGTAATTGTGAAATACACCGTTAAGTGATTAAAAGTAGGACTTATTTACAATTCTCAAGAATTATTTCCGTATTTTATTATTTGATAATTCAAATAATCATGAACAAATTCAAACTAAGACTGATCCAATAGTTCATGAAATTTAATTTATTTCAACGACACACCAGGGACAAAGGCTGCACTTGTAACAACCTACCAGCAGTATTGACGGCTAATGCTGATACAAACATGATAAAATGCATGACATGAGTTAAAGAAAAAGGAAAGAAACAAAGACCTGGTTGCACAAATTTGACCCAAAATAAAGTTTAGCCAAGTTGAGGTTTGAAAGGATCTTAAAGATATCATTAAAAGAAGAAGAGTATAAAACAATCCCATACATCCCACACAACATGTGTACAGTATGGTCGTCATGAGTTATTGGAAAAAATATGGGGAAAAAGTCACAGTATAAAAGCAAGATTTCTTCATGTTCATGTTCGATAGGAAGACAAGAAGAAAACTGGTCAGAGAGGCTGCAAAGAGGCCTGCAGTGACACTGAGAAACTTGAGAATTAAAAAAAAAAGAAAGTGGTTTGTTGAACTTTTGTACCAACTTTTCCAAATACCAGATAAAAAGCATTTAAGCTTCTGCTAAAAAATTGAAATTTCCTGTTTCCGAATGGCAGTTTGAGTCAAAACATAAGCTGAAATTCTATAGAGCTTCACAAGAGTAAAATTAAAGTTGTTTTTTTTTAGACCAGTCTGACCCGAGTCCAGAACAAAATTAAGAACATTTGTAAAACTTTTGCACAAGTTTCTTTTCCAGTTTATTTGGACCATATAAATGTTCCTTAAAAGATGGAAACATATTATTTTTTTATCAGGGTCTCAAACTTTTCAAAAGTGTCAAATCACTTTATCAATCTTACACACAAAGACTAAAACATACACGATTACATTAATTAGGAGAAAATACTTCAACTGAATAAATCAGCTTAAAGATTCTGATTAGTCTTTCGACAATCCCTACAAGAAAATAACAGTAAACAAATAAAAATAAAGTATATATTTAATCATATTAATTTGAAAAAAACACTATGCATTAATGATAAATTTAAGCTCATAATTTTATTTATATATATTTTTTTGTCATTATCAAATGCATAGCAATAAAGGTAGCAATTAAATTACGAGAAAATACAGTAGATTTATTGTGCTTGCTTTATGACACACAAAAAAACTAAAGTTATTATGAGGAGAAATGATTTCTGCCCATAAATGTCTTCCTGAGTAACTGCAGGACTAAAACTGGCAGCATTGAAGCTCAAAATGTCAAAGAATTGGGTCAATGTGTGAAAGTTGCAAGTAAAAAAGGACCAAAAAAAATTACATTGTCTTGAGCTTGTCACCAGAAGAGGAACTTATTTTTGCTTTCACCTCATTAGGAACAGCTTCGCCTTTCACTGCTGCCAAAACATTGTCCACCATCATCTGCACCATCTTTCTTATCGTCCCACGAGTGTTGGTCCCAATGTGGGGCGTTATCAGCACGTTGGGGAGGGTGAGGAGCGGATGATTCCTGCACAAACCCATCAGACGAAGCTAAAATTAGCAATAATGTGTAAACAAATGAAGAGGGAGAGTTTAAAACAGAGGGTACCTGGGTAGAGGTTCGGGGTGAGTCACGTCTAAAGCTGCAGCTCGTATCGTTCCAGACGTCAGAGCTTTGACGAGAGCGTCCTGATCCACAACCAGACCTGCAACATAAAACAACTCAACCTGGTAGAGGACCGAGTTCTTCTGAATTTCAGTCCAGGAGAAGGATTTTCCATTACCTCTGCTGACGTTTACGAGTGTGGCTGTGGGTTTCATGAGTGACAGCTCTCTGTGGCTGATGAGGCCGGTGGTGTCAGGGGTCAGGTTCACCACCACCACCACGAAGTCGGACTCTTTCAGCAGGTCGCCCAGTTTCTCACAGTAACTTGCCCCGACTGCTTGCTCGTCTTCGATACTTCTAAACAAAAGAAGAATCAAAGATCTCATGAACAACCGCCTCCATTTCTTGGGTTGACGTATCGCGGTCCGAAGTCGACCTTCTGTTTCTGTTGTGGTAAAGGATCCTCATGTTGAAACCTCTGCTTCTCTGAGCAACTTTATACCCGATGTGTCCCATTCCAATGATCCCCAGAGTTGAACCTGTGACTTCAACTCCCATAAGGCTTTGTGGTACATGGGTGGTCTTGGAATCAACCGATATCAGGTGACCTGCAGAGACAGAAACCAGAAAAACATTGCCAAGCTTTCAGATAATTTTGACCATAAAAGTTGACACCCACCTCACAATAGGGAAATAAATATCTGTTTAATTTTGGGCTTTTAATTATGTAATCATCTAAGTTTGAGTTTCTCTATTTGCACTATGGATTGACTGGTAACACTAAAAAAGTACTTGAGACCATTCAATCTATAGGTTTCCTTTAATCGAGACAAGGGGGAAATTATACATGCTCCCATTAATAATAGGCTAAATGTCCATTAACAAAATGGGAAGCTTTTGTAGCTTTTTTCATAACCAGCTGAATATTTGATCGATCTTCTTAGCAGGTTAAGGGCTCGGCCATTTCTTGAGCAAAGTGTTCGCCTGGTTTTACCATCAGAAAAAAATATTTTCTGATTAAAACCTTTGTATTTGTTTTTGCAGTGCTGGGTTTTTCCATCTTATGCAGTCCCTAAGATCCCGTGTGATTTTTTTTTCCCCTCCTTTTTTGTGTGAAATTCTTTCTTCTTCTTGTTGAACATCCAATTGTGCCCAACTTTCATCCCTTTCCAATCCACCTTTTGGTACTGAGACAACACCACAGCACAATCCAGCCACTACCGTGCTCCATTGTTGGAACTGTGTTCCTTTTTCTTACACTCTGTATCCAAATAGCTCAGTCTTTATCCACTTTAACCGTGAGCTGGAGTAAACAGTACACCATGAGGTATTTTAGGAGTGAGAATAATTACAAGAGGGGAATGTGTTGCTCTCACCCTCTAGGACCGTCCTTGCTGAAGCCAGAAGGAGCGCCATGGCCATGTCTGCAGTGGCGTCGCTCACCACGCCGGGAGTGTTGGCGACCTTCACCCCAAAGCTGTTGATGTACGGCACGTCCAGATGGTCGATGCCCACTCCTCCGTTGGCGATCACCTTCAGCGATGGCAGGCGGCTCAGCAGGGAAGGCTCGGCCGCAGGACTGTAGTTCCACATAAACATGCCCTGGATTTTAGGGCCGTGCAGGGCCGGGTTTTGTAGAAACTCCTCGAGGCAGATGATGTGGAAGTGTTGGTTGATAATGTCAACGACGTCCTCGTGGAAGCCCTTGTCCCCAACCTTTGAGATCAGAACCCATGGTTTGTTGTCTGTCATCTCCTGCTGACATAAGAACACATTTAGAAACATTCAGACAATGGCTGGTGGTATTTCAACATCCTCAAAGCATGATGCTGCCACCAACATGCCCGAACAAACTGACTGGATATTTCACAACTCAAATATCCAGGAGGTGACATCCGGACTCGGTTTATAGATTACAGTTCAGAGTTCAATGGGTAATTTTGGCAATATTATGAACAAATAATTTGAACTATTTATCACCAGACAGTGTGGAGGAAAAAATGTTTTCTCTGCGTCTAATAAAAAACTGTTCCTTCAGTAGACTGATCAGAAATTTGCTTAAAGATCTGAGCAACTATTTTGTGATGCTTATAAAACACTGTAAGTAAATAAAATCTAAAAATCGATAAACCGTCTCAGGCAGTTTATCGATAACTCACATCATTGATAAACTGAGTTATCAATAACTCATAGTTTAGTTATGAATGAGAAGGATGTCTCTTCTCATTCATGAACAACTGAAATCCTAATATTGACAATAACAGAAAGCTGTTAGGGTGTTTTTATGCAGCTTTAGCTCTGTAAGATTGCTGATCTCTTAAACTAACTTCTGAGCCCCAGGAAGTCATAACACAGCTGACACTGACTAAATTAATATAACAGATCATATTTCTTCTTGTAAGATATTAAAATAATAAGTTATGGCATACAGCTGAGTGCTGAGAATAAAACTAAACATGAAACTGGGAGCAGACTGTAAATACTCACAAATGACTCTTGTTCTCACTTCCTGTCTGCCCTTCAACCAGGAAGAACTACTCGATAACTTTAAGAGCTTCAAAATAAAAGTCCTAAAATAAATAGACCAGTGAGAAGGATTATTTCCTACGTTTGTAATTTAGATACAGCTTCTGCATGAACAGCGATGAGGGGAAAAAATTTATTTTGTCGTTGTTGTACAACACCGTGGAAGCTCATTGTAGAACGTGAAAAGCATAAATACAGTGTTTAATTAATAAAACAAGCTGCATTATCGGCTTCACAAGGACATCAAGATCTGGGCTTTGACTTGGCCATTTCTTAGCTCTCAGTCACTCCTTGGTGGATTTACTGGTATTTTGGGGTGTTATTGTCATGTCATAATGAACAGTTCTGCTTTAGCTTTATGTTTATTAGTTTTTTTTTATATCACATTTTCCTCAGACAGCTTAGCTGTAGCTTTTTGATGAGCTACAATAATAGGTCTATAGGAAAACATCCCCAAACCATAACACCTCCATCTCTGTGCCTCACAGTTGGTGTAAGGTTCACGGATGAAATTTGGTTTTTCATAAATATGTCTTCTGTTCTCCTGTCTAAATATGTAAAAGGTAAATTTATCTGTCTTAAGAACGTTTTTTTTCCACAGAGTCCGGTCTTTGTCTACGTTCTTCCTGGCAAACCATAGTTTGGCCTTAATGGTTTTCATAAAGAGCAAAAATTGCAACCCTTTTCAGTGGAAATAATTTAAAATAATATTTTGAAAAAGAGTACTTTCTTCCACTGTGGTAATCTAGTTACATTTCTCGATTTTTAAAAATTGGACATAAAATCTCCATATGTGCCAGTAAGACAGAAAAACACACTGGCTTTCATCATAAGACACTCGCTATTTACCTTTCCTTCTTTTTAATAAATGGTTGTGTAGACATAAATTAGATCATATTACATAACATTTGATCAATAACTCTAAATACTGGTTGACATATGGATTCTGTATTGACTGTAAAATATTTCCTCCCATGCTCCATTAACTATGTGGCTCTGAACAAGAGAAGATGGCTGTAGAAAATAATTGACTGGACACACTGACCTGAGTTTACCATTTGAAACACTTAACTGGACAGGAGGTGGGAGAGCGGAAAGGAGGGGAGTGTGAAGTGTCTGAGCTACTTGGATTAGCTTTTCTAGACACTTTGTTCCTAATAGAAAACAGCTCCCAGTTTAACAAGTTTTGTATCTTTGGTCACAAATTACTTCAGATGCATCCATCAATTCAAAGTTGGACTCCTTCACGTTTTATCACAAGCTCTTTCTGCAAACTTTACAGTTCAAAGAGTAATTTTTGCCTTCAGTCCAGTTTAATGAAACTCATCTAATACAAATATCTTTTTTTGTAAGTTTGTCATTTTTACACTAACGGCATTTTTTAGTTTTAGATGTTAAAACAAAGGGGAAAAAACAAAATTGAGGGTAGGTGCATGTCATATGTTGATGTTTGTAGAAAAACTATGAGAAACCAAAGAACAAGAATAGAAAATGAAAAAAGTTTGCATGTATTTGTAGAAATATCCCTTTACTCTAATAGCGCTAAATGAAGTCCAGTGCAACCAAGTAATTTGGGAAGATATTATTAGCAAATGATTAAACTTATGTGAAATTCATATATGTGGTAAATTTGTGAAGGCCTCTGGTTTGTTAAAGAACATTAATAACCAACATAACCCTACTTAAAGTGGCCCTTGTTGAATAGTAGCAAGAAAAAAAACCACAAGAAGTTTGTTCATAAATCAAGAAGATAGCCATCACAGATGTGTAAAAAGTCTAAATGTAAAATATTATGAGTGGCAAAAATCTAATTTAGCGTTACTAGGTTCCAAAAGCACAAAGCATCAGATTTTTCTTGATAAAAAATTGATATTTTTCTTCCATACTCATAATGATGTTCTGGTCACACTTTATTTAAAGGAGTGTTCATAAAACCAACATGACTCTGTCATTAACATGACATAACATCTGCTATGAGCATGAAGGAGCCGTCATGAATGTTTATGACTGTTGTCATGAAGTGCTATTTGGTAAATAATGACAGTTTTAATTCAAAGTTGCACTGAAAGTTGCACTAAGAGTCCATTAAAAGTGTCAAATTTGCACCTCTAAGTATAACTGAAAATTTGGAAATATAAATGCTGCGTGTTTAGATGAAACTTCTGCCAATAAAGTGCAAAGCGATGGAGAAATACCTTTTTCCGCTGCAGCGTGCTTGCATCTGCAGATCTGAGTAGGTTTGTCACTTTAAGAAGCCTGTGTGTTGGAGCTGCAGCCCGGATTTTGTCACGCACCGGACTTGGCGGAGACATTGCATTCTAACCGGCTAATGTTAATAAAATAAAAATAAAAGATAAAAATATATATGCGATTTAATTAAAAAAAAAAAGACAAAAATGATATGGAAAGGGAAAACATGGTTGCATGTGTGTTGCATGTTGTATAAATAAATAAATTCTTTTAGATAAAATCCACTGTTCTCATGCAGGAGAATAAAACTGGTGTCATGTCCATTTACCATCCACATGCTAGTTAGTATTCAAAGAGTAAATGCATGAGCGTAAATAACTGAGATACTTCAAGAACTGATAATGTTCTTATATATCAGTTCATGAAGAGTCAGTGCTGCTCTCACCTTTTCAGTTGAAGTTGTTTTCAGCTCTGTTGATTTCTGACTGGGGAGAAAAAAACAGGCGTCAGTTTAAAGACCTTGGATAAAATCTAATCTGATCATGTGGATGTTATATCTTTAACTGGGCTGAAGGCTGCAGTGAACTATTCCTTCCTTTGTAGAAAGAGAGAGAGAAATTGTTAAACCCAGTAACTGAAGGGCCGTGATTGTTAGAGAACAAAAAAACTGATCAAAGGTCATCAGTTGACTTATTGTCCATAAAGAGACAGTACATGTGGCTGATTATACATGCACATTTCCTTTAAAAAGGGCATTTATTTTTAATGCGAATTCAATTTGTACGAGTTAGGAATCAATTGTAGCAAAGCTGCTGGCTTTGACAGAGTCAATACATTTTGCAAAAAGAAAACAAAAAAACATTTGCCTAACATTCAGCCATTACAGATAAAAATATAAAAAAGAAGTGTTGTTAAATTTGCTGGAAGAAAAAAAAGCCGATAAATGATCAGGAGAAATCAACAAAATTTCCTCTTCAAAGTTGAACATGTCCAACCTCCCACTAGATGGCATTAAGACATTTACTTGGAGGCAGCACAAGCCATGTCTTTTGCTTTTTGTTGATGAAAATCTGCTCTAGCAGAAGAATTTTGGATTACGTTCACAAGAATAGACTCATCAAAAAATAAAAGGTGTGCGCAAATATCGAAAAATAAAACCTGCAGATGATTTAATCAACTTTGACGAATGCCCCCCGAAAAATCTTCGATCGGATCATTTTGAAATAAAATCCTTCAGCATGTTTAGTCTTTACTAGTCAGATCAATAACTCTTATGCTGTATCCTCAATAAAAGTTGATTGAAAATCAAAGCATGGCAAAAATAGACGTTTAGATGTGAGAATTAAACTTGATTTCTGTACATTGTCAGTACAATCAACACTTGCTTGGTGTTTTATGAGTCACACAGAGGCTCCATAATGGGTCAGAGGAGCCGTTGCAGGACTGAACCCTCCATTCTTTTACCAAGTGTTGCATGTACTGATTCTGACTGCATTGTGTTCAGAAGGTGGTAATACGACCGAGGAGTCGGTTTTGATGCGACTCCCTCCGTGTTGGTCCATGTGCGGGAGCATTAGGGAAGGCTGATCGATGGCTTACCTGCTTTTAACTGTTACATAATCGCTCCACCTCACTTCTGCTCTTCACTTGTCTCCATCTTTCCTCCTCTCTCCCGCTGCCTCCCTCCACCTCACTTGCCCTCACCTTCTATTTCAGCGCTTTAAGTATCTCCTCGCCTTGAGATGACATGCCCCGTGACGAAGGCTGTAAACCTGGACTGGCCAGGAGTCGTTCAGTTCCCTCATTAAGCCACTTCTGATCTCCAGCCAAGCCTCCATCTGCTCCAGCATCCAACAGCAGTGGTTGTTTTAGCAAACAGCTGACTCATCATCAAGTACATGCAAGAATTCTGTCTCTGCTTTATTACACTGTATTTTCAATCAATGCAGAGATGTAATAAAGTAAGAGTTACTGTGCCACATCTGGAGGGAAAAATTGAGTTTGTGTTTAAAAGGAACATGTCTGCCTCAAGAAGCACTCCATCATTTGAAATGTGAGAATTTTGCTCACATTTCAGGATCAAAAATCTTATGCGCGCTGCTCTTAAATCTTACCTTGTGGCGTCACAATGTGGCACCGGCTGTGATAGTCCTTGAACAAACTGTAATAGTCTGCTGACGTGAGTCTGCAGGCCCATCCTGACTCAGCTTAAAAGCCTACCTCTCATGCACCGTCTGAGCAGATGAAAATAACAATAAAACAAGTGCAACATGCTTTATATACTGATAATGTAGTGTGTTGTCTGGCCCACTAAGCTTTATCCGTTTTCAGTTTCAGGACTCAACAGAGAACATTTGCCAATAGAGGATGAACAGAAGCTTGCATCTAAATAGTCTCTTTTTATCTCCTCAACCATTAGATAAATATTTCAACATATCATAACTTCATATTTTTACATGTAATGTTTAAACATAAAATGTTCTGTTCTTCAAAATCTTGCAACAAGTCTAGTTTGTCAAATACACTGAAACAATGTATGACTACATGCTTGTTTTGCAGTCATTTTCTTTGTCGTGTTCTACATAAATACATATTTAGATTTTGTTCCTTGACACATTTTATAAAAAAATATTCAAACAGGTAATGATTTACATGGATCATATAGGCAGATGCCCAGGGCAACCATAGCGGGTCCAAGGGCGTACAAGAACCAGATATTAATAAATACAACTTAACAGTCAATTGTGGTCTGAAGTTTCACATTGCTTTTATTTGTGTGCAGCGCTGCAAGCTTCCCCTGCTTGCTGCTGTGAATAGGGAGACGAGGGTGTGTGCTTTATGTGGTTTCACTGTACTTCATCAACACCAGCGTCTCTGACAGTTGCGTGCGTTTAAGTCGGTTTGGAGGTGGAAGAAGGAGGGACTTTTTCAAGGTGCTGTTCATGCGAGAAAAGTTTCATGACAAGAAAAACATTAAAACAACAAAAACATTTTAAAAAGCTTTTATTTTTTTACCATTTACGAAAATATTGGAGGGACATAGACCAAAGAGGCTGACAGGAATACTAAAGATGGCGGTGATGATGCAAAGGTGTGGTTGATTGTTTGTTAGTACACCTCAGACCCCTCTGTTTCTGTTAAAAAGTAAAATATATAACTCATCTGGCAGTGAACAGCAGTGAATGCTTCACTGCTGAATGCAACTTACTTTTACGTTTTATTTGTAAGCCGGAAAGTTTGATGATCGATCTAGTATGTAAAACACAATGATATCAAACTGCTTATTTGTACTGATTATGGTTGACTTATCATTAAAGCAGAGGTGCACAAAGTAGCATAAGGTCTCTATTTGTGATTGGTGAAGAAATGCATTGCTCTTTGCTTGTAGTGTTGATGATTAGCAAATTCCCCTGGTTTTCTGACTTGCAGCTGTTGCTTCACGTTCATGAGTGCTGCTCATGAATTTCGCACACTGACATGTGACGTTTGCCACGAATGGCTTTCCCTCCCATAAGATCATAGTGTTCCCACATGGGGAGGGCTGCTTGAGAACTTAGCTCACCTCAAAACTCTTCTCTCCTCTCCAGCAGAGGTTGGCTCTGTCTGATTAGGCAACAGATTATCATCGGGAGGAGATTGATGGCTCTCGACCCGTCCAGCTCAGTGGCTTCTCCAATCTTTACCTGCCACCCGGCCTCGCCTCTAAATCTGCTGTTACCTAATGGCAGAGCCCGTGCAGAGCCATGGGCTGTCCAGTTTAAAGACTGAGCTGCGACACACCAGGCCTCGCGGCTCTGTATGTGTGTGTGGGACACATACAGAGCTGTGTAGAGTTGGGGTTTATTCTTCACCGGGAGAGCCAATCAAATCAATGTTATGCAAACCTATTAGTCAGAGGTTGCAGCACTCACTCAGGGACTTTCCCTCAGGGTCCAACTAACCGATGAGCTCTCACCTCTGTTAGTAGTGAATAGTAGGACTGTCCACTTGTTCAAGCTTCCTGAAAAAGAATTGAATCATTTTACTGCAACATACAAATGCAGACTTGTCACATGTATTTAACCCAATCAAAGAAACAGTTTTTAAACATGATTTTTTAGAAATATTGCCTTAAATTTGAACTATAATCAAACTTTCACACCCTATAACCTTTTCACATAGATGTTGCAACCTCATCGTATTGTATGAGGTTGCAGCAATACGCAATTAATGCAACAAGGCAACGCAAAGCAAACCTGAAAAGTGTAGCACAAGCATTTCATAATCAGTCACCAATCCTGAGAAAATAATTGTTCAAGACAGGCTGTGTACAAGACTTTCCAGAGTCTCTCAAATTGATTTAGGTCCGAACTTTCCTTGGGACATTCAGGGAAAAGTATAAGGCTACCCTCCATGTTCCCAGTTAGCATGGTGGTGTGCAGGTCTCTAGTGTATTGCATGCAGGCTGGAAAGTTCAGTTTAACCGAAACACATTCTCCTGGATTTTATATTGGGACAGTCACAGTAAAAGGAGCAATACAAACACACTGGACTTTTTTTTTTTGTCAATTTTATTTGTAAAAACATGTTAAAAGCCATGCGTCATGCTAGCACTTCAGTGTTGTGCACCAGTTTGTGCTGTCTAGCACATAAAAATGTATTAAAATCCTTCAGAGATGCATGTCTTCCATTCCTCTGTTTTAACTGACTGACATGGATTTGCAGGTGCTATTCTTAATTTTACACACTCAGAAAACTGAATGCAATCTCATTTCTACCACTATTTTTACAATATTTTGCTCTTGCATTAGATATAAAGCCTTTTAAATTATGGTTTATCATTACTTTCCTATTAGGAGCCATTGAAGACGTGATTCAACTCATACAGACTCACATATCTGTAAGATTCACTGGAACTGAAACTTTTTACATGGTTTGGATCAGCTCTACCTGTATGTGATCAGGGTTTTTCTAACACAGGGGGAGGGAGAGGTTCTCGGCGTACCTCCAGTAGCCCTTAACAAAACGCTCCTTGGAACAGCAACAGAATAGGCTCAGCATGGCTTTGACTTCCACTAATCATCTTAGCCAAAGCATGCAGCCTCTCAATGTGCCTGCAGAGGAACACCTGTACAGGGCAACACTGGCCACATGGTGGTCATCATCAGTAAGCTCGCTCATCTTCATCATCATTAACGGCAGCAGCAGAGTGCACTACTCAGAAATAAGTAAGCTCATTTCTAAGATCGTGACGAATCCTTTTCATGCAAATGATTGAAATTGTGACGTTGGACTGACTGAAACTAATGATTTTACTAAGACGTTCAGGATACATGCAAAACTAAAGTGTAAAAAAGTATTGAACAATATTAGTATGATGGGGTGCAAATCTAGCATATTATTATGAATATTATCACAGATGATTTTCAATTAGTATCACTTCGTCTATTACCATCCTAATGTGCAGATGAAATTCTCTGGTAGAAACAAAAACAACATAAAAAGAGATATAACAGACTTTAGAAGAGGAGACTTTAGCATCATTGGGCAGAGTTAGAATTTGCATGCCAAAAATTTGCTTACATATATATATATATTGCCTAACACTGCCTGCTATTATTGCCACAGACATCGACTCTGATCATATGAACCAGAGCTTTACGACATGGAAACATAATCTTCTGCAAAACGTAGCCACATAGGACAACTGGAATGAATGATCTATTTTGCTATTAGAATGAAAGTGTGATGCGTTCAAGGTCGAGAAGCCAACAGTATTTGGCCCGATGGATTAAATGTCACTGACCTTTAGACCCTCACCTCATAAAGATTTCAGTGACCATGCTAAAGTTCAGAGAGTGTGGCGGACACAAAGCGACGTGAGGATAAAATGAGGGTTAATTGCAACTGAATTAATTATTCAATAGTCAACAGTGATATGATGATTACATGCTTTTCTTGAATCACAATGTCCCAATGAGATGCAAAATGTAATATTTGATCCTACTTTTTGAGAACTGTTGGCTCTCAAAAAGTCAAACTAAATCTCTAACATCATAATTTCCACTTTCAAATTCTTAGTACGAATTATGATAAAATCATAAATTCTAAAAGATTAGAATTTCAGCTTCCAAAAACCCTTAAAGTCACAATGACAATATCTTCTGTATCTCCCAATCATGACAGGGCATTTGTAACGTTTCCCTTCTAAAACAGAGATTATATGACAGAAAAACCCCAACAACTTTCTGTGGAAGGGAAACTTCTCAAGCTAATCGCCATTCATGTGCCGACTCCTGTTGCCAGGACAACGCCGCCTCCCATTGGTCGCCGCGGTCCCACGTGACGCCGCTGTGAGGAGCAGCGGGGCTGAGCGGAGTCTGAGTGAGCGGCGGTTGAGAAAACAGTCAGCCTCGCTTCGGAGTTTGGACGGAGAGCAGCAGCTGAGAGTTACAGCGCCTGTGCGGCTTCAGCTACCGGTTCCTCCGACTCCACCACCGCTCCCCGACTCGAGGTTAATGGACTATTAAGGAGGCTTTTTTAAAAAAAAGAAGAAACCCTCCACGCCAACTGAAAAAGCGAGGTATGTTGTGGGCTAACGTCCCCGTCCTTCCCTTCCCTCTTTACTGAGTGTCCCCTCTTCCTGATACTTTCATTCCTTCTCAAAGCAGTTGAAATGAGCTTACAACCCAAACAATACTCTCTTCTGTGACTTTCCATCACTGTTAAGCCGTCGAGGTAACTTTATGTTTTTTTTTTTAGAAACAACACTTGACAGTTTCTTCCATAACTTTGCCCTGCAGCAGCAGCAGCAGCAGCAGCAGCATTATTACACTAACGGTTGATCAGGCTTCACCTACATTTCTAATCGGATGAGGCTGGTCCTTTTTTATCCTTAACGAACCTCCAGAGAAGTTCTCAGAGGTGTTCGCTGTATTTGCACTAAAAGCGTGAACACAGGAAGTGGAGACCGCACAAAGCTTGAGTGAGTATCTCGTTTCAGCGAATAGCCCATCAGTCGAGTCAGTAGAATAAAGCAGGAGAAAGAAGGCAGCTTTTACTGCACTTGTTTCACCTTGACAAGCCCGTGGAAATGTTTGCTCTCCTGCAAATGAATGTGTCTGGTAACTTGTGTGTGCATTCGGTCAATAGAGATGGAGCAATCACTCTGTTTTCACTCCCCAAGCTATTGTAAGCTGAAACAGGGAGTCATTCATACAAATGAATGTCAGACATTTGGGGGATTTTTTTTTTTGTTGAGCATGCATCTCTTATATTGCACCTCTCTCACTTAAAATGTTGCTCTCACACTCAAAAAAGTGTGCCCAAAGTTATCTTTCTGTGCTCAGATTTAATGCACCAATATTTGTGGCTCCTTTTTGACTCCTGTGTCTTGCACTTCAACTTCCTCTGTGGGGCTGCAAGCTTTTCTCTCAGGTCTGTTTTCTCTGCACATTTTCATGAAATGACTGTATCTGTGACCTTTTGAGAGCACAACATTTTGAGCACAAGGAGCAGGATTCAAATAGAAGAAGGTGTCTGCACAAGAGAGATTCAATCTGATTGCAGATTATTCTCTAGTGTTGTGAGATTGTATTTGTGAGGTGTTGTTTTTTTAAATTGGAGATTTGTGGAGACAAGTAGAGAGCTTGGGATTGCCTCACAATGTGAGGCTTTGCAGCTTTTAGAAAAATTAGCAAAATTTCATTGGAGTTTTATATAAGAATGGTGGAGACTTTTCAAATGATATTACTAAGACTGCTGGAAGCCTACAAACTTACATCGTATTAGAATGTTTTACTTTTTATGTGGTTTGAATAAATGTCACTTATTTGACTTGTAACTGTTTTTAGAGTCAAGATATCTCATTAGACAAAGTATAGTTTGACTATAAAAGCAATACCAGAGTGCATGCTGTTGGAAACAAAAGTTCATGTTGTATTTCTTTTTTAAATTTTAAATTCTCAACATCTGAAATGAGAAAATGTTTTTTCTTCAGGTGACTTGAGGCTTATCAGACTCTACTAGGTATGTTCACGAAAGCGTAAATTAAAATATACTAGGATCAAAAATCTTTCTGTAGGTTAGAAATTAGGATAGAGAGAACATTTCAATCGCCTAAAATCTGGGATAAAGTTTTTTTTTTTTGTCAAAATTTGTTTTCAAATTGTTTAGAAATCTAGTAAGTGCTGGTAAAATGTGTTAAGAAATATTAACTAAAATAATTTGAATGTTTCAATCAAATCAACAATCAATGATTTGATTGAAACAATCAACTTAATCATAAATGATTTGATTGAAACAATCAAATCATTTTGGATTGATTTGAACAATACAGACCTTCCTTATGTTTTTATTTGAAGTCTTGGTTCTTGTCTGTGCTACAAGTACCAAGAATGGCATTTGAGCTTCTTTTGTCCGTTGCAGTTTATAAACTTGATCTTTTTTCTTTAGCTATTATTAAAGCTTTTTTAAAAGGCAGTTATATTAAATTTTGAATTAAAGGTTGTTTGGAGCTTTATGACTTTTCTACTTAGATTTTGGACTTAACGAGACATTGTATTTATTTATTTTCTTACTTGGAAGTTTAAAGAGCTAAACATTATTTTTTATTTTTTTTTATTTTAAGTCATAACATCAAACTGAAAAGCTGTACTGCTGTGAAGAAGTCTTAAAGTTTACAGTTCTTCCAGCAAGGTGCCAGCAAAGCCATCATATTGGCCACGGTTTTGGAAAGAGGCATCATACTGCAGCTCCGTTTTGTGCTTTACTGTGCACTGCTGGCCAGGTGGATGAGTCTATTTAAAAAAACAAAAATAAATAAAGATATGTGCAGACAGTTTTTATGGATTCAAGTCAGATTATGTGATATATTGATTTTGTTTTAAATACTGTGTAAATACTGTGAAGCTGGAGTACTTTTATTCACACAGTGGGAAGTCTAGCCAGTATGTTATATGATTTATGGTCGAACTTCCTCTGTCAGACCCTGTAATGCATTCCTGGGGGTGTTAATAGACACTGAAATAGACACATAAATGTTAGTGTCAAAAGAGGAGGTTTAGTCATCCTGATGAAACAAACACTTAGCTGCAGGAAATAAAAAGGAAGATGCTCTGTTGGACAGAGGAAACAAACAAAAGAGAAACCTCAGCAAACACAGCTGTGTGGCATCTGGATTTTTATGGATTTAATTTTAGTAGTCCAGCAATTTGAGCTGGATTAACACTGAGGTGTTGAGGCTTTTCTCTAAACATTTCAAGATGCGGATCTCCGACAGAAGTTTGCTAAATTTGAACAGATGTTCTATTTTTGCCTGCTCGGGTGTGTTTTCCATTTGTTTTGGGCCGGATCTGACCACAGTGGAGGGCGGCTCGGCCTGTAGTTTGGCCCGTCGATGAGGCAGTCGGCGGGTTTTGAATTGAATTAGTACTTAAAAGAGAAAGAAAAAAAAAAGTAGATGGAGTGAGTGAGGAACAGAAAGATACAGAATGTTTTTGATAGGTAACTGCATGTTCTTTTCCTCATGCACTGCAGGAAATAACGGTGACAGAGAGGAATGGGAGACGTTCAGTTGTCACATTGACATTTCCATCTCTGCTGGCTTTTGTTTCGACATTCAGGGAAAAATGAGCGGTGCTCTCCACATATAATCAGCAACAATTTTCTCTGAGTGTTTGTCCAATGCTCAGTCTGTTTTGCAGCTCTTCCCTCCGTCTCTCTCTGCCGTCAGTGGCATTTTTTTATCTTGTTCTCATCCGCTCCTCATAATGGCTTCAGTGTCATGATTGTGGTTTTCTGCAGCGCCTTGACGCAAAGAGCTCTCCGTCTCACAATGGGAGCTGATGTGTGCTGAATTATGATGAAATTTCTCCCTTGGGTTTCGCGTACAAAGAGGAGATGCCATTTTTTTCCCCCTTTCTTTTAAAAACTGACAAATAATAAAAGATAAAAATGAAAGTCTGTAATTAAAACATACTATTTATTATTAAATAGTATGGGGTTTTTATGGTGATTCACAAGTATTTTAATCGCGGTTTTAAATGGGCTACGAAGGGTTGGCTTTAATAAGCACCTGCGGGAGGAAGAGTTTACCACTTTTGTATATTTAGCAGTAAATACGTGGTATCAAAAACACCTTCAGAAATGTGTCATTTTTGCTCAAGAAGAGAGCATTAGTCGATAGTCCTGCCACAAACTGTGGATTTCTTCTGCAGAAATCCACAGTTTGCAATTATTTTCTGTCTAACTGGATGCAATTAGTAGTTTAGCAATTTTTTTTCAGTTCGATTTGACTTCAAATTAGGGATGTACCATTGGGCTTCTTCCTGGCTGATAGCAATTTTGATTTCAACCTTTTAATTTTCTACAAACTAAAAAGGCTGAAAGAGAAAAATGAGCTTGCGGGTCCTTGAGAGAGCTAGCATGAAAGTATAAGCTGTGGATTCTGATGCATTTAATGACCACAAGGACAAAATTCAAAATGTTTGTTGTAATCTCTGGCCGACCGATTGATTGCATTTCTATTCTCTTGCATGGAACCAATTAACTGTGAGTGGAAGTTTTTATTTACCTTTATCAAACCATGCAGGTTTGAAGAATTAAATTGGACTTAAAATCTTTTCGCTTTACTCCCAACTTGGTTTAGTTGACTTTTGTTGTTTGATGAACTGAAAGCTTTCACAGGACCATTTCTTGAACCACTCTGTGGTACAGCTCAGACCAACAGCGGTCTCTTTCTGACCTCACACTAAATAACACGGCAGATTGAGTTGCACCCAGACATTCAAGGAGCCGCTGCAGTGAACACACACCGCCACGGTGCTTGTAACGTGAGCGCTCCCTGCTCCAAAAGTTATGCTGGGCGGCAGCTGCTTTATATGGCAGCTTGATTGCAAATGGGCCGCATTTGCAGTCAAGAGCTTGTGTATTTTAATTTTTTTTTATTTTTCTGAGACAGGTGCAGTTTTTAAAGCCTTTAACATTTCTCCCAAATTATTAAGCTTTACCAAGTGTGAACATTTCATCTTTCGAATTAGTCAGTTTGAATTAAAGAGGTACATGCATCCTAAGTTCTTTGCATGCACGTAGATTAAACCATAGAGAGATCAAATTTGTGGTTTTTAGGGTAAAAGTGGTTCATGTGCACTAGTTTCTGTCTCTTGGCATGGCATTTAACTTTAACTTGACTGGTGCTAATGGTTTGACTAAAACGGTAAAGGCTCCACTTTCGAGCTCGACTCAGTTTTCGTCATCTGCAACAATGTTAACAAGGAGAAACGGTACAAGAAGTAAGATATAGCAATAATATTATTTTAATTTTGAATCCAAATAAAAATGAAGGAATGACAAGATCAATTATTTTCCTTATTTTTATTTCTTCAGGTCATTAGAGACAAAATGTTGGTTTATACAGCAGGTGTTCGTAATTCGCATTTTATGAATAGAAGAAGAGTTAAAAAAAAAAACAAACACTCCAGATTTTTCTGTATTTAACCTGCTGATCAGACTTGGCATAGCCCAGTGTTTTGGGACTAAATTGAATGATTCTTCTCTAACAACACAAAACAAATGTTGCTTCCA